CTATATAACTATTAATTTTTTATTTTTTATCAATTTCAGCATTAAATAACTCGTGGAAACTTGCTCAAAGATATATAGAATATTTGATTATTAAAATATGTTAATTTTGTACTAGCTCAATTTATTAAATTAAAAAATAAATGCCATAAATATTAACAGTTGAGAACTTTCAGCAGCGTACTGTGATATATGGAAAGAACAATACTTTAGGACAATCATCTCTATGTTGACAACAAATGCTAGCCAAGTTTGGGAATGTCGGAAGAGGTGGATATTGATGAGGTTTTATGAATTTATTTGTGATATTTAATGTGCAGCTGTTGTGTTTGCTGTCATTTTGGAAGAAGGTTCGGCTATGGCTTACAGAAGCAGGTTAATTTATGAAGTATGGTTTATGGTTGTTGCTGGGGTAGGTAGTGCAGCTAGGTTGAGGTCCGAGGGATGAATAGGCTTTTGTGTTTTTTGACGTATTTTTGAGGTGTTTATGGCTTCGAGAGATTGTTTATCTAGAGTTGAAAATATTTTGTTGAGTGCGGGGCTTGTTGTGGTTGTGGAAGATGTAGGAATTTAATTGGCTCTTGATAAAATCTGTCAGGATTGTGGTGTAATGATTAAGTATTTAAGTGGAGGAAAATGTGGTCTTGAATGCTATTGCTTGTAGTGTTGTAAGACAATGAAGTGTAATTGTGAAGATGTATTTTTTGTTTGCTGTGAATTATTAGATGGAGACGTGAGGTGAACGGGCTAGAATGATATGTGAAGGCTGTAGCTTGAGGAGGTCAACATGTAGAAGTTGGGACATCAGCATATATGTCTTCTCAATGTGGTAGAGCAGACATCACAATGGTTCAAATTTTATTTGAAACTAAAATAAACTTGTCAATATATGTTGTATGCTTGAGGATAGATGTAGTGAAGCAATTAATAGTATAAGTTGCATGCAGAAGACCATCTGCATTTGGTAAATCAACAATCTCCCACTTGGTTGAAGGAATATAATATTTTGTATCCTTTTATAATTACCAATGAGGATAAAAACAATTCTCTAAGCGCTGATCTAAGGTTTGAGACCATTGGATTATGGATCATCTTATGTGATTTCCCTAACAAATGTCCATATCACAAGTATGGATCATCTCATCCTCACGAAACCAACCCTAGATCTTCATGTCTATATCAGATCGAGTAAGCTATAATTACCTTTTGAGTAATAAGCCTTTTGATTGATAAACCAATAACAATAATCAACCTCTACTAATAATATGACCTTTGTATTAAGTAAGAAATTTGTTGAAAATATTTTGCATAAGAAATCCATGTTTTGAGAGAGCATTTAATGTTTAAATTAATACAAAAATAAAATAATTTAAATAATTCCATCCAACATTTATTTATATGTGTACCCATACACAATTCTATGGGCATGGTGTGACCCAAGAGTTATTCACTAAACACTTTTATTTGTTGGAATCAAAAGGCCACTAATCTACCCAGGTAAGTCAAGTGAAGTTTGATAGTTTATGGTTGAAGCAGCAACACCACATCTTACCTATCAAATAGCCTGATGATTTTGCATTAATGAATAGCCAGCCCTTTAGATGTCTTGTGAATCAACCTATTTACCATTGGAGCTATTATACTCATAACATTGAACACATGAATTAAAAATGAGCACATTTTCTCAGGTTAGTTGGGAAACTTGCATATTTTAAGATTTAATGGTCTGTGTAGACCAAGTAGAGTGGTCCTTATGCTCTACGAAGGGTGTGGATGGATTCTAGTTGGCAGAACCCTACATAACATATGTATACCTATTTTCATCCTGGTCTATTCCTTATTGATCTTACTTGGGTTGAAATACAGGTTACATCAAACTCAAATGCATGTAATTTTGCTTATTAGTAGGCAAAGAAACTGTTTTACTTGAACCTAAGAAAATGGATCCTAGTTTTGATACCCAATGTGCATTAAAATGTCCTTGGACTCTAAGATCATTTCTTTGATGGATTAACACATGGCCATTTGTGCCTAAGAGCCAAGGTTTAAAAATACGCAATTGGATATTGAGCCTTTTTGTTTTTATTAGACAAACTGTATGCCTCGCGGAGACGTAAGCATCAAAATAAAATCATTAAATATATTTAAATATGTAAAATAGAGATTTAAAGTGTAACAATTTTAAATCATAAGAATTCATACAACCATACAATTATAAGCAAGAAGTTTAAGATGTATAAGTAAATATAAATTAGAAATCTAAAATAAATAAGTAAACACATTCTAAAATAAATTAATTATGATTTAGGGCTCTGAATTGACAAGTCAATTTCACCACTTAGAGGTTCTTCATTAGAATCATCTTTATAATTGATTGCTTTCTCGCCTCAATCATTCTCTCTTGTATCAACATCCTTTTAGTCTTCTCTATCATTTTCAATCTCAATCACCTTCCTCTTCCATAATTAATAAAATCAAATAAGAATATTATATAAAATAATAACTATATTGATACTGCATAATTTATTTTATATAAAGTTTTATACTAACATCTTTTGTTACCTTCTTGATAAGTTTGGGCTATAATTTTTCAACCCAACATATAAAAAAAATGAAAAAAGATCGTACGCTTCTATAAAATTCCTCAAGACACATCTTGACATGCTTCTCTAGTTTAAGGCATTTTTCTTCACGTGAGGCTATAGCCTCAAAGAACTTGTGGCTCTCTGAGGTGTGCCTCAAGGTGCTTATCTTACTGTGCAATTTTAATTATTATCTATAATTTATTTGATACCTACCCGATGGCGCACTTTGGGGTTATTATGATATTGGTTGATGATACAGACTAAAAAGCGACTATCTAACTCAAAGTACAAAGCATGTCATATATGAAACTCAATATGGCAGTTGAATTGGGAACATATATCATCTTTTGTTTTCCTTTTCCAATCTTTGGGATTTCTATTCTCTTTGTTTCATGCATTCCTCCAATGTGGTTTCTACAGGCTTACATTTTTTCATTCTATACTATTTATGGTTTTCTCAATATAACCTTACTGGGATAGTCCTAGTGAAATTTTTATGGATCTTTAGTAATTATATAATAAAATATTTAAGTAGTGCGCCCATGCCTTTCATGCTGTCGACTAGATTTTGATTTATCTAAATATCTGTATGTAGTTTCTGGATAGATAAAGGCATTTTCAAGCCACTGATGTTTTTAAGCTAGCATTTTAACACCAAAATCAGTTTTCCCCAGGTTTCTATTGGTAATATGCGCTCTTGACTCGATTTCAAGTTATTCACTTTGATATTGAATTTGATGAAGTGTGAGTGATTTTGAGCATCTTCAAACTTTCAGAGATGTTTACTGGTTCTAGATTTGATTTAGAAAGTGTTGAAAATAGAATCCTTTACCTTTGTGATTGATAATGTGTAAAAAATGTGGCGTGTTTGCTGACCAGGTTTATCTGAAGTGTAAATGTAGGTTTTAAGAGCACAGCACGCATCCATATCCATTGCATTACGATGTCTCGGCTTTTCATTTATTTACACTAGATTTTTTTTTGTGTGAAGATAGTTCTTTATTGATTATATTCTAATGAACTAGGCGTGAAGGTTAGGACGTTACATAGAATGTGGAAGAGAATGATTTCTTATCTGAATTTGATTGAATCATACTCTAGGTGACTAGAGTTTCTTGCTTCATGAAGTTTTTTGGCCATCTTCTGACATGCATATAACAAATTTTCATTTCACTGGAGGATTGAAATTTTGTCTGATATTAGTTAAAAGTTTATTTTGTAGATTTTGTTATTAGAGATGGACTGATCCTGAAAATATATTGTGTACAAAAGCTTATTGATGACATTTCTTATATGCTAGCTATTCAAAATTATTAATTCTACCCTTCCATTAAGTTCTTAATTTGCAAATTGGTTATAGGGGCAAGTAATTGTGCCTGAAGAGGAGTGGGAAGAATTTATCAGCCTATTGAGGAAGCCTTTACCAGCTGCATTTAGAATTAACGCCAGGTAATTCTTTCATTTATTCATACATATTTTTAAGCCGTTCATTGTCATTTTATATGCGAAGACTCCTCAAGTTAGAGCATATATATGTCTATTAGCTTTAATTTGTTCCATAAATGAGATAAAGTAGGTGTCCTAGAGTGCATTGGTAAAGGTATGCGCCAGTTATTTTAAACTGGAGACGTGAGGAGTGACAAATTTCTTCTTATGAAATGGCAATATATTTAGTTCATTCATGAAAAAATATGATTGCTGGTAATTTAGATGACGACAAAAATATTACAATATGGAGAAGCCAAGGGAGTGCTTTAATATTTGATACTTGGATTTAATATATAATAATTCTTTCACTGCAGACTTTTGATATATTGAGAATCCATAGAATAGATTCCCAATGCTAATTTTTTTATTTTTTATTTTACATGGGCAACTCATCATTCAATTGACCAATTAGATGTCAAGCATGGTAACTATAAGTTAAACGAGCTGGCCAATAACTTTTAAATATTGAGATGGATCATCTAGAGGTTCTTCATTATTAGATGTGGGCTGAGCTTCCATGAAGGAATTAGTAGGCTTACAACAAAAAAGTCTTGTTTCTTCAAGAAGATTAGTACCATATTTCCTATGGAAAATAGATGCTTTACTATCGACAAATTCAATTCTAAGGAGGTCCTTGGGTTGTCTCAAGTCTTTTGGTGAAAATATTTTTGCAGGTAATGATTTACCTCAGAGAGGTTGAGTTCACTTACACTGCGCAAGACGTTGTCAAAATAAAGGGTTTTACAAAGTTTGTCAAAACTAGGCTTGTGGGCTTACTATAGATAGTCTTCATGGTTAGACCTATACGATTCTTCCCTTTAGCAACATACCCAAGAGGTTGCTTAATATAAATTACTTCTTGCTTTTAATTATAAAGAAAGACATCCCTTTGTAGAAGAGCCTAACCTTGATCGATGGCCATAGATAAACAAATTATGACGGAGTTTATGCATGCAACTGGAGTTGTCAAAATAGTATGCCCCATGAACCTAGGTGAACTCTTGGCCACCAATCATGCTTGTAGGAATCGATCAATCTATATGAATGACATTTGATTGCGAACACCAACTTTTATGCAATTGGTTTTAACCCAGGAAGGGGGCAACCAAATCATAAGTATGACAATTGGTAAGAGCGTCTATTTCAATATCCATGGCAATTTTTTTATATAAAGGATTCTGTAATGCATTTTAATATTCTCGGGAATATATATAAATGACAAGGAGAAGCCAAGGGAGGAATGAAGTAGGTAAATGATCAAATGAAATATAAGAGCTAATAAGATTATGTTGTCATATACAATTGTCGAGCGCAATGTGTGGATGCAGGTTAAATGATTAATCGATTGGCGGATATTCAGTTGGATCTAACAATGTGGTTGGAGGTGCTATTATGATTGCAGGTCAGGTTTGATGAGAGTATTGCTATAAATGTGTGGAGTAGGAAGAGGAGCCTCTCATGCTGCAGGTTTAAGAGTAGAGGAGGGAGAAAAGAAAGATGTAGTTTCATAAAATGTGACGTCAACATAAGTATATACTCATTTTGTATGCGGATTATAACACCAGTAAGGCAGTAACCCTTATGAGTGTGAGAGTATTCAAGAAAGCTACACTGAATAGCGTAAGAAGAGAGTTCTTCTTTCAAGTGAAGTGCATGAATAAAGTAGGTACAACTTGACTGCAATAAAGAGTGGATAGGGGTGGGGTGTGGTTGAGAAGTGGAAAAGAGGTCTGATTAATGAGGTAGCAAACGATCATGACATCATACAAACATAATTAATGATGTGCATTTAGGTGAAACGTCAATGCTCTGAGAACATCAAGGAGTTAGCGATTTTTTTATCCAACAACACAATGCTATTGAGAGGTATAAGGACATTTAAGTTAGATGAATGCTATTATTGATAGAGCATAATATACAAAATTGAAATTGGATGAATTCTAAAACATAATCAATGCTAAAGGTTTTGATTAAAGATGACGATTGAACCTATATTTCTTAAAAAAAGTCTAAATACAGAAAGGACCTTTGAGTGACAATTTAGTAAGTAGATCCAAGAAACCCAAAAATTAGTAATAAAGCTGCTAAAATTATGAAGGGCCATATAAGGACATGGATATGGTTCCAAATGTTTGAGTGACTTACTTTAAAATGACGAGGACAATTACCATTGGTAGTGTATGGAAAATACATGCAATGGTGTTTATATAATTTACATGTATGATTATCAAATTTGAGTAAACGAAGAACCACAAATAAATTTGAGTACATATGGATATAACAAAGATAAAATCTTGAAGTTTGCAAGGAGGATGACTCATACAACAATACCAATGAAAGTGTTAATGGTGGAAATGGTGCATAAGGAACATTTGTTTTAGGGTAGTAGACCCCACCAATTTTCTTCTTTGAGCCAATATCCTGAGAGACATAATGGGAAGGATAAAAATCATAGAACAATCATGTGGCTCAACAAGATAGTGAAGATGATGGGGACATCAGAGCATGGAAAGTGTATCAGAGGCATGGCTGTCGATCTACGATTACGATCGAGTCGATGTATTTTTGAGTCATTTCATGTATTTGTTTTATTATGTTATTTGTTTCTTGTTATTTATGTTGTATTTATTTTTCCGTTTTTTACCCCTTAAGGGAGATCGTATGTAAGCCCTGAGGGCATTGTCGTCTTTCGTATTTTGAGTCTTATGTACGAGGTTATTTATAGCCTCTATATTTCACTTTGAAAGTTTAATGAATGAGTGATTGATAATATTTTCCCCTTGCTAGATTTCATTGTGAGATTTTGAGAGTGTTTGAGAGACGAATTCCTAGGAGAGAGAAAACGGATCACCCACCAACCTTGGAGACGGCCAGGTTAATGGTTCTATCTTATCTATCATTTTTCCCTCCTTCCTCCCTCAATTAGCCGCTGGCCACCATACAACTTCCACTTGCCATCGGGTAACCTCAACTCCATCTCCACCCTCATCTGACAAACCCAACCTCATCATCACCCCACCGAAATTTCCCGCTCTCAAGCCCACCAATCCGCCGGCCTCATCTCCCTCCTCCCTCCAAAGTTCACATCACTACGTGAATACTTTCCATAAATGACTATTATAAATTTTGGAAGACTTAATTTCAAATTTCAAAGCAATTTGAATTTGAAAATTTCTTTCCTAATTTAAGAAATCTATTTTAGAAAAGTTTTTAAATTAAAGCATATTTGAATTTCAAATTCATTTGGATTTTTTTAAAACCTTTCCTAATTCCTAAACCCAAATTAAGAAACCTTCAATCCCTCTCATCAATCCCCTCCAAGTCCATCAATGTCGCCGGCCCCTCTAGGATTGGATTATGAATTCTTTCCTAAAACCCAATTCCCCACTTTGGAAACAATTCCAAACTTCTCTCTCTCTCTCTCTTTTAAAAAAACTTAATTCCTTCCCAAAATTAAGCTTTCCCCCTTGGAATTAAATCCCAAATTCTGTCCTACTCTAACCACCCCCTCTCTCTTACCCCATATTCTTTTTAAATTATTTCCAAACCTAGAGAATTGATTTGGAAATTAATTTCAGCTTTCCCTCCATAATCCTCTTCTCTAAATCTGAACTCAATCTTTCCCTAGTCTTCCCCCTTGGCCGACCACCCTCTCTTGCCACTTCCTACTTGGATTCTTGAAAGAAACCTCTCTTTCAAGGGGAAACAGCAAGGACAGCAAAGGATTATTACCTTCAACACTTAGGGGCTGTTTGGCTGTCTGAAAAAAAAATGCAGTGTAAACTAAATTCAATGTAAAGTAAATGTATTGTATTCCAAATACTTTGAGACTGTTTGGTTGTCTGCAAAATAAACGCAGGAGAAATGTTTCCCTTGTTTGATTAGGTAGATCCAGAGTAAAGTAAAAATGATTTTTATAATAATTTGAAAGAAATCATGGATACTCATGCAGCCATCTTTTAGTATTTTCATCAAAACCTCTCGCACCGCCATTTTCAATTTTCAATATTTTTGTCACATTCATAAGACTCGAATTAAAGAGCTCTTAGGCATTGTTTGGGATAAATATTACTTTCTAAAGCTGCTTTTTAAAACTTTTTTTTTTTAAAATCTTTATACTAAAAAATTAATTTATAAATAAATACAAAAAAATGAGGCAACCAAACAGCCCCTTAAACGCTTGTGAGAGACTTATTCCTCTCCAGTTGAACCTTCAAGGGAAGCTACGACGAACTTCTTCAACTTCTCGCCTATTTGTTTCTAGGTTTTGACAAAGGTGAACTTCTTTCCCTTTTTAATTACTTTCCTAATCCCCTAACCTTGTAGGTGATGACGAATCACAAGGAGTCGTGCTTCGCCTTATGCCTAAGCTTAGTAAACGTAGGATTGAGCGTGCTTTCTATTCTTCTAATCTTATTGTTAGATTATGGATTTGTTGAAAGCTATTTACTTCGCATGTTGTTGAGTTTCTAACTTATTTTGATAATTCAAGCGTTTGGCAAGTGGCTTAGCCTAAACGTAGGCACCCCTCTCTTGTTTTCTATTATCGTTTCGATTGCTAATAATTTTAATCCTACTTGCTTAATTCAAGAAATCATGCAATTTCGTATCGCATACATTTAAAAACATTTTAGTCCTACATCAGAAGAGCAAAAAATTTTAAAGGAAATCGGGCATGTGATCAAAGGACTCACAATGCTTTTGCCAAAAACATGTGAAGGGACCCATTGGGTACAATCATGGGAGGAAATAGAACATGCAGAGAGGCAAAAGTTTTGCGATTACTTGTGATATCAGAAGAGGCATCCAAATCTGAAATACAGAACATGCCTAAAGAGGCCTCTGCAGTATAGCTAGAGGAAATAATGAGAGGCAGATGTGGAGGTTTGGGAGTTTTGAATCAAGCGATCGTATTTCGCTGGAGAAAGCATGACAAAATGTATAGGAGTGATAGTAATGAAAGAACCATCACCAAGAATAAATGTCGTAGATGCATGCTGGGTTGAAAGAGGATTAGCCAAATTTGGTCCAACATCGCTTTGAAGAAATATTGCCGCGTCTATAGTGTGTATGTCCTCTACAACCACAACTACCGCCACAACATCTACAACCTCCATGACCAACATGATGCATGGTAGTGAAGGCAAAGGTTGTAAACGAGTCGAGTTGAGTCGAGCTCGAGCTCGAGTCATGCCTAACTCTAGCTCGACTCGTCAGGTAAATCATGAGCTCGAACTCGAGTTGAGCTCAAAAGATGAGCTCGAGCTCGGCTCGTGGTAATATAAATGGGCTCGCGAGTAGATTGTGAGATTACGCAAAAGGCAGCCTCACGTGATTCCGTTGGAGAGGTTGTTGCCAGAGAATAAGAAGCGTTTTGAGCTCCCGACTGTTGCGTGAGAAGGGGAGAAGGTAATTTTTTTAATTTATTTTTGAGGACCGGTCCGCCAGTTGTATTTTTTATTTTTGTTTTTTGAAAATTGCTCCAACCTCATTAATGCAAAGCAGCATTTTGTTGAAAAGATAAATATATTCTAAAATCCTCCCTGCATATTTCGAGCTCTGGACTATCACGTGAGAAGGGGAGAAGAGGAGGCAACTATTTTTTTTTTAATTTATTTTTGAGAACCAGTCCATAGTTTTATATTTATATTTTCATTTTTAAAAAATAGCTAGAACTTCATTAATGCAAAGCAGTTTTTTCTTGAAAGATAAAGATATTCTAAAATGCTAGCTTTTTTTTTGGGAATAGAAGTCTACTTTTTCTTAATACTAGCCGATTTTATCGGAGTAAAATTTTTATTTGTTGATTTATGTAAGTAAAAAAATTCAATTAATTAAATAATTAGGAGCCTGCTCATGAGCTGGCTTGGCTCACTTACACGCCTAGTGAAGGCAATATGATTAGAAAATTATGGATAAGACAATCACAATATTACTTAAAAATACGGGAGAGAGTAGTGGCAAGATTGAGAACCATGGAATTGATCATCAACTGAGATTATACATGTTGAAGGAATGGATGAATGCCGAAGAGAAATTGAACAGCCAATAATTTTCATTTTGTTGTTGCTAAACTTTGGGATCAATGACTAGGCCTATGGCAAAGTAACTCATCTCAATTCCCACCCAAGGTGCTATTTCAAATCCTAAATGAACAAATCCTTTTGCTGCTTAAAAACTTGGTCTTGGTACAAAGTATAGACTCTAAAGAGGTTGCTTTTATAGAAATAAGTAAAGTATATAAAATCTCAATTTGCCTTGTCTGTATCATGAAACATGACTATGAACTTTGAATTTGGATTTGTGAGTTTAAGGTGTATATCTGCCCTATTTTGCATTTGATTGTCATTATCTTTTATGGATTTAATACTGTGATCAGAGTCATTCAAGAATCTATTAAGTGATAATGTAAGATGGGAATGTTAAAATGAATGTAAAGTGAAGCTAGGAAGAGACAGATGGAGCAGTAGTTGTATGAGAGGAATTTTAGGATCAAATCTCATTTAAAGATATGGTAGTGAAAATTAAACTTTGGTGCTTAGGCATTTGTAATGGTTGAGAATGAACAAAAGGGATAAGCCAAAGGTAACAAAGATAGAATTTTTGCCAAAAAAATTATGCAAGCTAGATTCAAAACATCTAATAGTATACTAAACAAGAACAAATGGAGTACAAGGCTTAATAAAAACAACCCCAATTGATGAGAATTTGGCCAACTGCAATGAGAATTTCCTCTTCCAATTATTTATTGTTGAATTTTTTTATCTTTCGTCATTTATTTTGGTCTTTTATCCTGCTATTAGTAACATTTATTGAATATAAGATAATGACAAATAGATTTAAGTTGTTTAGGTGTGCATAATGAAGGGTAGAAGATGCACTAATGATTATTTGATAAGCTTAGTGATGATGGATTAGAAAGATGAAGGGCTGTACTGAAGGTAACTTGAATATTAGTCATACAAATAAAAAATTGTGCAATGCAGCTTTAACAGCATATGCAACATGTAACAAGGATGAATGAGATTCATTAAGCCGACCTCAAATAATTAATACAAAAATATGGTCTATTCCACCGCCACTGCAAGTTCCAACTAAAAATGTTAGTCCGTCATGGTTCATGAATTGGAAGGCATAACGTTTTCCTGATGTGAAACTACTAGGAGTTACGATTAAAATTAAAAAGAGAATTGTTAAAGTTTGCTTTTATAAATTTATGTGGATCATGCAAGATAAAGTTAAGAATTAGAAACGTAACTTAGCTTAGGCCAAAGGATGTCCTCATCATTTCCATTCCAACGGACAGGAATGGAAGAACTCTAATCTAGCAAGTAAACCTCTTTGAGAAATAGGTTTTGATTTTGTTCTTTTTTGCACTTACATGCATTACAATCTGTTTATTAAGCTTTCCATACATCGTTCTTGCATAATTTTTTGCGCTTCTGATTGTACCCTTATATTTTGGTGAATCCTGGTCTTTTTCTTTTTATTTTGCATATAAAAAAGATTTGTTAAATCAATCATGATTTCTTGAATATTTCACATCTACCATAACCAACTGTTCATAATGGCACATTGCCATGTTAACTGCCCGTTTCACAATGGAAGTTGATGTTAGATTGCATTATGCTACAGTGGCCAATTCTTCAAGGATATACGGTTGCAGTTGGAAAATGAGTTCATGAAGTCTCTGGATACTGAGGTATCGAACCTGTACTTTCATTGACTCCTTGTTTAACTTTTGGAATTCTTATAATGTCAGTTATATTTATTTCATTTTTGTGTATCTCTACAGACTAGTAATGACTATGAAATTGAAGCTATTAGACCTTTGCCTTGGTATCCTGATAAGCTTGCGTGGCATTTGAATTTTTCTCGTATGCAGCTAAGGAAGAATCAAATACTTGAGAGGTAATAGTTGCTATGATGTGAAAAATTCTCTCTTTCTTTAGAAGTGTACGTCTCTTTGATTGTTTATGAAAGTTTGGACTACTTCTGAAACTGGTTTCCTGTACTACATGCTCAGCATGTCTTGGTTGCTTAACAAAATTTCTACGCATGGGAGCAAAACTTGTACGTTTGGCTCAAAGGTCAATTTTCCAGGGAGGTTTTGTTTTCTTTTAGGTAGCATATGATATTATTAAGTGAGCTTGTACTAGGTGGTGCAAGACAACCAATTTAAATGAATAAATTCCCTGCTGCAAGATATATGCAGTTATTCTATTTTGCTTGTATTTTTTATTTACCTTTGAAACCTGGGCTGTTTTTAGCATTTATTTTTAAATAGTTCAATTTTAGTCTATTGTATTTATTATTTTCAAAGCATAAAGTGCAAAGAAATATGTAAAAATTATTTTTTCTTTAATGCACAAAACACAAAATGAAGTGTCACTTTTACTAGTTAGAGTACTTAGTTGTATATCATGTATACATACAATAATCATTTAATAAATTAAATTTAAGCTACATAAGTTAACAGTTTTCAGCAAATGTAATGATACTTTCAATATTAATACTAAAAAAATGTAAAATATGAATAATTTAATGATTGAATTAAAATTTGATATAAAATAAAAAAGAAACAGATGTACTGATATAAAGTTAAAAAGAAGTCTGATATGAAGCTGATTGTCAAACTCTATAAATTGGAGTAATTTTGTCAATATCACCACTTCTACAACAATTTTGGATAATAATTACCCCCCTATTGAGATAAAATTGGAGTTTCAAATTGGAGTGAAAATTTTTTCGGATCATAATCTCTCCAAACAGAGCAGTCAACCCTCTTTTCTAGAGGATGTTTGAAGCTTTTTCACAAATGTTAAAAATTTTGGGTGTCATTCATAATTTTATTTTTAGGATGGTTCAATACTCTTGATGATTATCTTAAAATGGGGTATTCATTGCTTATTCAAGACAATATTATATTCGAGCTTGTGAAAGGGACATACACACCTCCTGTACAAGATAATGTCGTGCCTCTTTTTGGAGGTGGAATTATAATCTACTAAGAAGTTGAGAGATCTGAATTTTTCTGCAACTACAAATGACAATTCGTTACTCTTTGTAGAGGATACACACCACCAATTCATGATAATATTTTATTGCAGCCTGCGAAGGGAAAAAATGCATTCCAAATTCCTAATAAAAATAAAAAAAACAATGATGAAAACTTACGTACCATACTTACAGCCTCTTGCCTCGTGATGGTGCCAACCTCTTTCTCTTGTTTCAAATACTCATGAAGCCTATTTATTGATACAAATGCATGATAAGAAAAAATTTAAAAAATTGACAACAGGGTCACAGCGAGCTACACACTTCAAAAAACAGTACAAAGTAAAAAGATTTTTGAATAGGACCACAAACATAAATACGAATAGCTAGAACATCAAGACATTCCAGAGAACATGTTTTAATAAGAGAATTTACTATATTCTCAGGAGCTCGCTATACTACCTCTCAATCATTGAAAATTTGGAAATCGCTCCTCGTATGCCACCCAAAACTTCTTACAATTTCAAGCACGACTATAGTTTTAAGAAGTGAAAGATTCTCAGAATAATATACGAACTTATACTTCAATCTATACAAGTCCCACCTTTTCAATCATCATGTTCAATAGTAATAGGCCATAGTTGTGATATAAGTATGCGCAATGAGGATAACAAATTTAAATTTTATTTTGTATTCTAGATTTCATTATTTTATTAAAATTATTCTAGTTAATATCATTGTGTTTGTTTTCAAAATGTTAGCAGTTTGTTAGCAATTTGTTAGTTGTAGTTAGCTATTTATTAGTTTTTTTTTTGTAGTTTGTTTTTTTATTTATTTATAAATATGAAAAATCCAAGTCATGTAAGGCTAGTTCATGGCATGAATAAAAATTCTTGTAATGGTTGTATAGTCTTCTTCTTCATCTATTAAGGGATTGCAATCCTTAATTAAGTATGCGGCTTGAAGATCTTTATAAGTTATCTCCATTTACAAACATAAGGTTTGCTTTCAGGTTATTTCTTTCTCTACTTCCTTTTTCTGTCAACTCTCTTCTTTTACATTTTTTTTTATTATTGATTGAAAATGAGATTGTGTTTGATCAAATTTATACAATCTAAATTTATGTCAATTGCATAAAGTTTTAATTAGATTTGCGGCTTTTGTGATCCTTAATTATGGTTATTACTTTGTAGTAGAAGGAATTTTTGTTTGAATTGATTTAACTCATGCTTCGTTTATCATCAAAAGCAAACAATAGTTGTACTAGATTAATGGCTAGTGTATTGCCAGTTGTTGCATAATTGTTACATTGGCTCCAAATCACATATTAGATCTGGATAAGAAATCCTAGACTTTAAGATATCCTACATTAAATTTAATATCCTAGCTTAAGGTTGTACCACAATATTTTCTAGACTTAGAATATAATCAATTTAAAAAATAAATAATGCAATTAAAACAAAGTCAATTTAGCTATGATTCAAGACAATTTCAACATAATTTTATAGAATTAGGACAATTTTTCCTACATTTGTTGGATAATATAGAATATATAGTTTCAAAGTACTGAATTTGCAAATTCAAAACTAGTAGGATTTGCTCAAATATTTTGTCAAAGTGACGCAAATATAATCCGCGTGGGCTAATAGGAAATATAAGCTTAGGAAATGTTTGAAAATGTTTATTTTTTTCATTTTATTTTGTTTCTAGTTTTTTTTTTTAAAGATTTAAAAACAAAAACATGTTTGGATGGTATGCTTTTTTATGGATCATAAAAAAACTTATTGTCATAATAAAAATCCAACAGGGTTAGATTTTAATTGCAAAGGGACAATAGTCGGATGACAAAAGTCTAGCAATGGTGGTGACAATTTTTGATGGTGGCTGTCGACAGTGATCACCAAAAAATGCTATAAAGTTTTGATGCTCTCTCTTTTCTCTTGAACTTGCCTTCCATATACAGAATAAGGCAATATTTAAAGATTTTTTGAGAGGGACATTTTCGTAGATTTGTCCATAATCCAAACACTCTATTATAACTAGTTTAATGCCTTAGTTATGTTAGAATTGGATGATTGGACTTGTTAGATACGTCTTGTTGAGCTGCTTGATTTGAATGTAAGCACATCAAAATTGGAGATTGTTTGATCCCGTAATTGATGTCTTGAAGCTTTCAAGTATGTTTTAAGTTTTTGATTTGGGTTCATTTGGGCTCAAATTGGATGAAATAGGAGTTCTAATGCTCATGAATTCAATTTTGGAAGTTTTTAATTCAAGTATTACCTCGATATTCATACCGATCAAGCTAGCTTTTTGGATATGCATCATTTTCCTGCTATTTTCGGATGTTGAGGGTTGTTTCATCCACAAATATATTTTAAATCTTTAAAAAATTTCTAAATGTAAAATTAAAATTTTGAAAAAAATTAAACGGTGCTACCACTCCCTACACATCAATGTGGACCTCCTTTCATTGTGAACTAAATAAAATTTCCTTAATTATAATTTAGCTTTCATAAGATTGACTAATTGATTGGAGCAAAATTGTTGATCTTAGCATATTCTGATTCCTTCTCCTAAAAGATGCTCGACACTTATGTCCTGATGTTCTAGTTATTCATTTTTATGTTTGTGGTCCTACTCGAAATATACATTTTTTAGTGTGTTGTTTTCTTGAAGTGTGTGGTTCGCTGTGATTCTGTTGTCAAATTTTTTGAATTTTTTCTTGTTATGTGTTTTTACCGGCAAACAGGTTTCATGAGTTTTTAAAACAAGAGAATGAGGTTGGCACCATCACGAGGCAAGAGGCTGTAAGCATGGTATGTAAGTTCTTCATCATTGTTATTTTTAAATTTTTATTTTGAAGTGTGATGCATTTTTTCCCTCTGTTTGTCCTGTTCATATTCTTTAAAATTGCATATTGTACCTCACAATATTTCACAGCAAAAAAAAGGTATTGAGTTTAGACTTTTTATGCTGTAGGTACCACCTCTGTTCCTGGATGTACTCCCTGATCACTATATACTTGACAGTAAGCCAGTTGTTTAACTTTGCCTATTTAAACTTAGAAGTTTGTTTTACTTTATCATTCGATTTAATGCTTTTTCAACTTGTAGCCTCATTTTGGAATATATGCGATATGAGTTTGTTCTTTTCTTGAGTGGCATCATCCATAAACCACGACCTTCTAGTTTTCTCTGGTGCAGCTAGTAATGGAAGAGATAGAGACAACCCTCCTACCTCTTTTAAAAGGAAATTTAATTTTTTTGGGCTTGAAGTGTTTTTACTTACTTATCATGAGCAAAACTGCAACATACTATAATACCTCAAATTACTTATCATTAACAAAATTGCAAATTACTATAATACTACGGCCTTTGTGAACGCTGAGTTGCTAATGAACTTTTAAGGCTAGTAAATTTGTGGAGGTTAATGATAAGAAAAATAATTAAAGAGTTTGATTTATAATTAATGTACACTTATTTTGAAGTTTTTGCATATTTAATTTTCATGTATAAAAACTTTCATTGCTTAACATCAAGTGTTATAGTGACAAATGTCTTCTTGATTTGTGCAGTGTGTGCAGCCCCAGGATCAAAAACATTTCAGTTGCTTGAAATAATACATCAGTCTATTAAGCCTGGTTCACTCCCTCATGGACTTGTGTGTTATTTTTTTTATAATTTCGATCTTTTTTGCTGTCGGCCATGTATTTTAATTCATTTTCTGTCTGAAATTGAAATAAGTTGGTCTTCAGTATCCATATCGAGTACCTTTACTATATGACGCTTCAGGTCATTGCCAATGATGTTGATGTTCAAAGATGCAACCTTCTTATCCATCAGACTAAAAGGATGTGCAGTGCTAACTTGATAGTTACAAATCATGAAGCTCAATTCTTTCCTAGTTGTTTGCTACAAGGGGAATTGAAGAAAGATATTTTGCAATTTGATCGTGTTTTATGTGATGTTCCCTGCAGTGGTGATGGTACTCTGCGGAAGGCCCCTGATATCTGGCGAAAATGGTAAGATTTTGTTCCCAGTCCAGTTTTCTTTTCTGTTTTTCTGTTTTGTCTTATAATAAGCTTGTATTATGTCCAGGAATGCAGGAATGGGTAATGGACTTCACCGCCTTCAAGTGGAAATTGCTATGCGTGGTAATGAGTTCGGAGTGGCTTTTGCCATTCCTTCCTAACTTTGCTGAGTGTATACCGGTGGCTGTTAAAGATATGCGGGTGCTACTTTTAATAGAAATTATTTATTCAGCATGCCTTTGCTTGTATATTTTTTATTTCTTTGTTGAGTTATTTTATTTGAATTTTCAATCTTAGTTCCTTATGCTACTAAGGAGTTGATCTGTCATCTGTGCTTCTTTATTTGAACCTTTTAATGTTGCCTTCATATGTAATACTGTCCGGGCCTTGGGAAAGCGATGGCTACCTTTTCATGAAACATTTTTTCCATTTTAAAGTAATGAGTTGCTTATCCTTGCTCAAGTTTTGCAATTTCAAGGTGGTATCTGTATAAATGATGCAGTAAGGAAATCAGATTTCTGAATTAATCCTTGTATGGAGTTGTTTATGATTTTGTTTCCTGTTATTTCATGAGAGATGCTCTTATGTAAATAGAGCTCGTATTATATTTCTTATGGCAGGTGTTACCTTACTCAAGGTGGGAGGAAGAATGGTTTATTCGACCTGCTCAATGAATCCAGTTGAAAATGAGGCTGTTGTAGCTGAGGTTGCTTCTGAGCAAACTATAATTTAATTTAATTTAATTTATTTTATTTATGTAATTGCTTTTGTATTCATGCATCGATTGTGCAAAATTTAGAAGTAAAAACGTTTATATTCTACTTTATGGTAACGATTAATATATTCACTCCCTGAATAGTTTCTTATTTTTATTGCAGCAAGAATATGCAACCTTCTTATATGAAAGCAAACTTTAGTCAAATACTTGACTTTTATATTAGTGGTATGGGTAGAACTGTGGATGCTTGCTAGTATTTGAGCAGTCTTAAGCTCTGTTTGGCATTATTGTTTTGTGTTGTGCGATGTTATGCTATCCAGTAAAATAAATAATTGTTTGATAAAATCATATTAAGACTTGTTGTCTAAACTTAAAGAGTTATGGTTGCATATACTAGTTCAGTTATCATATAATTAATTGATTAAATAGAAGTGCTAAACCATAAATTTTCTTGCTACTTGTATCCTTATTCTAAAAAGCTGCTCTTTTGCATTCCTTCAACTGGAGTTTTCTCTCAGCTTTTGACCCGTTTTTCTATTAAAGAAAAACTAGAAACAAGTAGTATAAAGCTATGCTAAACAAAGCCTTAAAAATTGACCACCAGGATTGATGAAGTATGCTTACACACTCTATTACCTATCTCATCCATATTATTCAAAAAAGCAATATGATTGTCTATGCTGTATGGTTCTAAGTTTTAGTTTATTAATAGGTTACCATGCATCTTCCTTGATAACATTCTAACAAGGTGAACATGAAATTGATCTTGGGATTGAATTTGGTAGTTGATCAATTTGTTCACTTATGATCACAATTTAGTCATTGGATTATAGGTAGATCAAAGGGACCATTTTTATTGAAGTTTTGTTGGTCTGATCTTTTGATGTAAATTTCTAGTGATTTTGATTTTTTTAAAATAACAAATTTAGTGGTGGGATTGTGACTTTGGTTGATCAAGTCATTAAAAAAGTGCATGTTTTAGATAACTCGAGTCTGTTGTTCAAAGCAATGGTGAAATAAATTAGGATGTTAGTAGTAAAATTCAAGTTGGATGGTTGAAGTGGAGGAATGCATCAGGCCTACTGTGTGATATAAAAGTACCTCTCAAACCTAAGGGAAAATTTTATAAGATGGTGGTGAGACCTGCAATGCTTTATGGCATAGAATGTTGGCCATTAAAAGAGAAACATAAAATTAAGTGTTGTAGAGATGAGTTTGCTTAGGTGGATGAGTGCCTTTACACTTAGAGATATAATGCAAAATGAGTTTATATGTTAAAAAGTTGGAGTAGCTTTAGTGGTAGATAAGATGAGAGAGAGTCGCATTAAATGGTTTGGTCACATGAAATGTCTGCCTTCCGGTTAGGAGAGTAGATGTTTTAGATTTGGCCTATGTTATGAAAGGTAGAGGTAGACCAAAAAGGACTTGATTTGAAAGTATTAAAAATGACATTTTTTATTAGATTTAAATGTGAATTTGACTTTTAATAGGACATAATGGAGAAAAAAGGATTATGTTGCCAACCCTACATAGTGGTATAAAGCCTTTTTGGTTGTTCGTGTAGATCATACCATTTAGATTGAATATCAAGTCAAAGGAAGTTCATCGGTGAAGATAGATTTTCAATTGGATGCCTGATGATTGGTATCAGGAGGATGAAAATTTAGACCATCAGGTGGCAATAAATACATTGGTATAATGGAATATATTTCTATTTTGAATTTACATTTGATTTTTTTTAAAGAAGTTAGTTCATGAATAAATAAGGTTTTTCCTAAATTGTGGAGTTAAATAAAGTTGTTACTTATTTGATGATGTTGGTTAGGGCTGTCATGGTCGGGTCACAGTTTGGGTGCGGATCCAACCTGGAACTGATCTGATATCAGTTGACCCAACCCGTTTTTAAAAACGGTTCATTTTCTCGGACCCAAACCCGACCTGTCAATCGGTAGTCTCGTCGTCGTTGTCCTTCTGGCTCAACCTAACACAACCCGGTTTTCTTCTAGCTCAACTCTTTTTTCACCTCCTCTTTTTCATCATCTATTTCCCCTACCATTCACATTTCAACAATCTCATCTCCCACATTTTCCCAAATTCCACTGCTTTTTCCATAGCAGACAAGCCTTTTTATTGTGAAGAAGTTAGATCGCTGAAAGGTGGCGTTTTTCCGAGTTTGGCACCGCGGTGGTAGGAAAGAACCAAACTGCGATTCAATTTCCAGGGTAGAACTTGACTAGAAGTGAACTGGCATCAGAAAAAGGAGTTCTGAGACAAATAACATGGGAGGATCGAGCAGCTAAGTAGGCTTCTGCGTGCATCTGGTCCAGAGGAGATCAGTGAATTCTCTTCATTTTTTCTTGTGCCAGTCCAGTCAGAGCGAGAGACCCATCATCGTAGTCACGCATTCATTCTCCTCTGCTTTCGCCTGTTGAAGGAGCCAAATAATCGGGTCAGCCTGTGTCAACTTCCGGTTAGCGAGTTGACCCAAACACGATCCGTTTTTTTTCAAATGTCTCGAATTTTAGAATCCGAACCCGAACCATTTGTGAAATGTGTTGACCCTAATCCAAAAATTTCGGGTCGGATTTTTGGGCCGTGTTAAATATTGACAACCCTAAAGTTGGTATTGGTGAGATAATGCCAAATATAAATTAATTCGTGTTAGGAGAGTAGATGTTTTAGATTACCCATGTTAAGAATGGTAGAGGTAGACCAAACAAGATTTAATAAGAAAGTATTAAAAATTACATTTTTTTTATTTGATTTAAATGAGAATTTAACTCTTAATAAGACATAATGAAGAAAAATGATTCATGTGCCAACTCCATATAGTGGGATAAAGACTTATTGCTACTGTTGTTGCAGATCATAACATTTAGGTTGAAAATCAAGTCAAATTAGTTCATGGGTGAAGATAAATCTTCAATTGAATGAGGATGAAAATTTAGACCATTAGGCGGCGATAAATACATTGGTATAAGACGGCTACTAAATTTTGAACTTGTTTGGAATATGTTTCTCTTTTTATTTTAAATTCGATTTTCTTTTTATGAAGTTAGTTCATGAATGAATAAGGTTTTTCGTAAATTTTGGAGTTAGAGAAAGTTGTTACTTATTTGATGTACTTGGTTTGGTGAGATAATGCCAAATGTAAATTAATTCATTTGAATTGGCATGACCAGTTTAGACAGGTCATTACAATTATCCTAAATAAATTCACACTTCACCAAAATTGTCCAAATTAATCTTATGTTGATTTTAGTAGCAACAAAATCTAGAGAAATCTTGATATGCTTCAATATTTCAAATTCATGTATTACTTTGATGTAATTCATACAAATAAGGCTTGGTTATGCAACATTTGTGCTTTACAATCTTTTCTTTAAAACAAATGAATGCAAAAAGATGACATTACAGAAATGGAGACTTAAAACTTATTCTTTGTAAACCTTTTTGCACAACTTATATCCAAGTCCCTTCAGTTATCCTTTTCTTTTTTTTGTCCTTCGGCACTAATTTTATCTGCCTATCATACGAATGCATTTTCTACTCCCCAAGACTATTTCTACAATCATATTATCAATGAATGCTACTCTTACTATTCCTTTAATATAATGATTCCTCAATCAATTTTTACCTGTTTTTCCTTTCATCTATTTTTAATATTCTCATTTTTACCTCATCAACTTGGCTATTGGTGAAGTTTTTACGGCAAAACATTAGTTGGACTTAGGTTTTTCAGACCTGGCGGGCTCACTTAGTTCTTTGGGATGACCAACTATGCACACTCTGGTTCCTTTGATTTAGCTTTCTCTTGACCAAGCTATATGCCATTATGCCATTGGAATAACTTTTTTAAGTATTTTTTATTTAGTAAGATCTAGCTCAATAATTAACTGTTATATCTATGGGAGTATATAGATGCAACAGATTGAAGATTGCATTAATGGTTCGTTGTTAAGATAGGATCAATCCTATTGCATAACCTAACAAGTGTCTTGTCGTTGCAAGTAAATAAATTGGATAAATACATGAATTGCACCTTTGTATATTAAGTTATAAATGATCTGAATGTGAACTAGCTGGGACTTGTTTGTTTCGATCCGTTAACACCAAGAAAACATGAACAATTGGGACTTGTTGTTTCTATTCGTTTACACCAAGCAAACATGAACAATAGGGAAAATTGATATGCATCAAATACTTCAACAAAGTTCATAATTTTTATAGTACATCTTCTAAGCATCATAACAAACAATTTGTTGTCCATGTTTTTTAGAATATATTTGATGGGTTATTTATTATTGCCTTTTTCTCTTAAAAAGTTTTATATTTCATCTCAACCAGATTCTTCGAAGAAATAAAGGATCAGTTGAGCTTCTTGATGTTTCCCATGAGTTACCAGGATTGGTTCGTCGACCTGGTCTTAAAACATGGAAGGTTATTTTCTCTCTGATTAAGTTCTCTGCCAAAATTCCTTCAATGAACCATTTAATAAGATATTTTTATTGTTACATAGCTCAAGAGTTTGATTGATGAACTTCCTGAACATGCCTTTGTAATAAAAAACTTATTTCCTGTTCTTTTTATTATAATTAAATGCTCAGGTTGATATAGTTATTGCTGGAGTGTTTGGCGTAATAATTCTTTCCCTATTCTTATTTAACCTAAATGTGAAGGACCACGATTAGATTGTGGGAAAACTGACATCGAGTATCTCTATTTTATTGGAAATGATCTGAGCTTGAGTGAGCTGTCAGAAGCTTCGCATCTATTTTGGAAAAGAAACATAACATGAACAACTTTTGTTTACAGGAAATTGACCCCTATGCTGAACAAAAGTTCTCCAAATTATGGCAGATTTTCTGCCCAGCAGAAGTTTCTTATAGAAAGCAAGTTGATTTATTCCTTGTAACTGTATAAGGGAATTGATATATCATAAAAAAATTATCTTGATCCGAGGCAAAATCAAGTTGCAAACTTCCAAAATTAAATCCGGGACCATGTGAACTCCGATTTCAGCAAACTTATAGTCAAACTGAACTTCTCGGAAATACGAACCCAACGACACTAAATTTGACTCAATCCAAGCTCAAATGAGTCCAAATCAAAGACCCAAAGAACACTTGGAAGGTTCAAACTATAATTTGGATTACCAAACGATTTCCAAACATGACATACTTATATTCAAATTGAGCAGCTTGACAAGATGAATCCAACGAGCCCAAGATTGCTAAATTTTGATATCATTAAGACATTCAAATGTCTTGTAACCGATTCACAATCAAGGGAATCAACATCGGCCGTCCATTCAAACAACTCCCAATTTACCCTTGATCTTCTTCCTATTTACTGGCCGTGCCACTCTTGGAACTATATAAATAGACTCCTTAGGTCCAAAGCAAGGAAGCAAGAAGAGAGATCGGAGATAGCTCTTGCCACCTAGCTCCTCCTTGACCACTGCTCGGACTTCGGTCTGACCACCGCCGCACCACCAGCTGATGCCGGACTTACGCCGGATAACCACCTGAACTTGTTTACTATTTAAAAGACTTATCGTAACCCTCTTCATTTATCATTAAGCTACTGGAAATGAGGGTTAAAAAAAGTTGAAGTAAGGATAGGCTGCCCATAACCTCTCATAAAAATAGAAAGCTATTGTCCTCCAAATGATATTTTCTTATATTATGAATTAATTATGTATGTTTAATTAATTTTGAATCAGCTCAAAGCAAACTTTTGATTGAGTGATAAGAAATTAAAAAATAATTCAAAATCATTTTTGAGCTCAATATTCTGGCTTCACACGACTCAGTATGTCCAAGTTGATTTTTTTATTAGGTTTCTTTCTAAGTCATATAAAATACTTATATTTTAATCATTATATTTTTATCATTATAGCTTTCTTTGCAGCCATAAGAAGTTTAATGGCATCTGAATAGATAAAGCTATCATTTTTTATGTTTTGAAATCTTTGTTATTCTCAAGTTTATTGTTCAGTGCTGGCTAATATGTAGGCTTTTTAAAATTGACCTAGTTTAGCTTTCTAGCTATGATGCACCGACACGACACGGACACAGGGCACGACATTTTTTAAAAATATAGGACACGGGTGCGGCGTAGACACGACATAATAATTTTTTAATATAATATATAGAAATTAAGGTGACATTATATTAAAAATCACAAGCAATAATAAACCAATTTCATGATAACTAGGTACCGAGCTTGTACCTAGCGGTATCGAGCATGTACTAAGCGGTACCTAGCGATACCTAGCAGTACTGAGCATGTACCTAGCGATACCGAGCATGTACCTAGCGATACGTAGCAGTACCGAGCATGTACATTAGCTTTTTTTTTTGGTAAGTTTAAAAAAACAACAATTAATATTTTAGGTGTCGAGAGTCAGGTGTCGATGCCATTTATCAGTCATTGAGAGAGGAGATGAAAATATCTTTACTGCCAAAAAGAAATGAAAATGAGAATATTCGATGATTGAGAATTAAGTGCGGACGTTGATTTTGTATTGTGGATAGGAAATAAGAAATTTACTTTAAATCTCGCAAAATACAAGAAATTATATTTAAAAAAATTCATACAATATTTAAGATACGCGTGTTGGACACGCGTGTCCAATTTACATTAATATTTTTTAATTGGACACGTTTTCGGCGTGTCCGACACGTGTCGGAGGAGTGTCGGACGAGTGTCGTGTCGGACACAATGTCGGACACTACACGCCTCTTTGAGGAGAAGTGTCGGTGCATCATAGCTTTCTAGCACCACACAAAATATGTTTTTGCCCTTATCTAATGCGAAAATATAGTCATTCTGTTTTTTTTTTAGATAAAAAGCATACTATTTCTTAATAATACTCCTGTGCTTTTAATAAGTTTCTCTTCTTAGTTTCTCTGTGGTAATCATATTTGACCTCTTATGTAGCAGGTTCGGGATAAGGGACTTTGGCTAGCAGCTTATGAAGATGTTCCCATCTCTAGGAGAGGAGTGATCTTTCCAAGTATGTTTCCTTCTGATCAAAGCTGCCTGAAGAAGTTTCAGTGTGATAGTCAGGATGTGATGGATAGCTCAGCAGTAGAAAATAAATGCAGTTTTGAGTTGAAAGATCATCTTGTAAATATCATAGATCCTGATAACGAATTGAAAAAAATTAAAAATAATGCCACTCTGGTTGATGTAAGCAAAGATGCTATTAAACGAGAGGATGATAAAGGAGTTGGTGCGTCTCAGGATGACTTGAATGAAATGAAAGCTAGAGTTTCTAGTTTTGATCTTGAACGTTGCATGAGGATACTTCCTCATGATCAAAATAGTGGAGCATTTTTCATTGCTGTTCTGCGGAAGATTTCTTCATTACATGGTACTCTTTTATATTCATATCAGCCAAAGTAATGTTCAAAATCATATCATCCATCGGTAATTGTTTTTTGAATTCCATGTTTTAGTCATATAATTGTGCCGTTATATTGGTCAGATGATTCAGTCAAACGGATTGGCCAATCTACTAGGAAGCGTAATACACAAAAAGGCACTACCAGTCTGGGACTTGAGAGGGATGATCAACTGGTAGCAGAAGCAGCTTCTGGTCTTAATTCAACCGATGAATTATCATCTGTGGTGTCAGAAGAAACTGGATTTAGGTCACAAGGACCAGACCCATATTCCAAAGATGATGAGGCAGAAAAAGTAGTGGCATTTGATAAGATTGGGGATGACAGTTCGGAAACTAGGCAAACCAAAGGAGTGCTACAAATGCAAGGCAAGTGGAGAGGGGTTGACCCTGTTGTGCTTTTCAGGGATGAAAACACTATCAACAGTATCAGATCTTTTTATGGTATCAGTGATTTGTTTCTGCTCGATGGTCACCTTGTTACTAGAAATATTGATGCCAACCATGTGAAGAGAATCTACTACGTATCAAAGTCTGTTCATGACATTCTAGAACTGAATTTCAAAGTTGGGGAGAAACTCAAGATTACTTCGCTTGGTCTGAAGGTTTTTGTAAGTATTGTTTAGAATCTGTGTTATTTGTGTATTTTTAAATTACAGAAAATTGTTTTGACTTGTGGTTTATGTTTTGCCCTGAACCATTACCTTTAACATGCTTCTTTAATAGTTTTACCGCTAAAATATTGCCTCATGTTTCTTTATTGTTGCGTTATTTTACTGGAGAGCATAGTATATGAACAGATAACATCATATAGTAGATGTAAAGCCTATTATTTGTGGTTGGACTGTTTCATCAATTTGTTTCGTTAAGAAGCATTTCTCTTTGTATGCTCACTGCAATTTCATCAATTTGTGGAGAAATGCAAACTAGTGGGAATATTAAGAAGTTGACCTCCCAAAGAAGTTTCCTTTATCATTTCTATTTAGAGCGCTTATTCTCATCAAATTATTAATTTTTATCACGAGGCTATGTATTATTTAGCATACTATTGTTCTCATGAATATTTTTTATGGCTTTATTGAAAGTAATGATTCTGTGAGCATGACGTGTTGTGTAACTTCTATAGTTTTTTTGTGCATCTACTTGATGCCAAGTTAACTAACTCTTCATTTATTTACACGTTCCATTATGCTTGGGATTTATTGTTGAATGCATATTTTTATGCCAACTATAAGAAATCTAGCATGCAATGTTATGATGCCATTATTTCAATATATTTTTTAAATTGTGTCACAAAATTAGAAAATAGAGAGTCGCTTCCATTCAATGAAATCAATATCCTAACATGGTCAAATTTTCTTGGAAAACCTTATGCAGGTTAATTGAAAAATTTTCAGTCAAGGTGTGCTAGATTTTTGAATGGCATTTATGTTAGGTAAATAGTGGAAGCAAGCAATATAAGTTTTATGTTGGGATTTTTATGCGAATATGGATAATTTTTTTATTTCAAGATGAAACCATGCAATTTTGTCACGATTTGACTAACATGCAATTTTTATGATTCGAGATTTGCGTCGCGAGTTTGGTTGTAGTCATCTTTCTGTTCTCAGAAACAATCCAAGTTTGATGCATGCGCATGATCTCCTAATTGGATCTAGGCCTTGAAGGATATTTTGTAGTTTTTTAATTAGTTAGATTTTAGGGTTTTAAGCTTATCTATGGTACGATTTATTTGATTTTTTTGAATTGGTGAAAGGGCAGGGAGTTGGGTATGAAATTGTGGATGTAGGGTTAAGATTGTTAACAATTCAATCTTATGTTGATCTGATCTTTTGCTTAATATTGCTGCATAGTCATTCAAATCAATCTTGATGATTTCGAGGAAATCTTTAGGTAAGCAAATTCTAACGGTAAGTTGTCAAAATTACTAAATTAGTAAGTTGTAAGGAACTCTTATTTCACTTTCATTGTGGGGTTATTTTACCTCTTATGTGAATTTTAACAATATATCGCTCACAGAGAGTCCTCTACATTGATCATCATTATTTCTCTAATAAAAAGTTTACAATGCTATTGTCAATTGTTATGCATCGATAATGATAGAAGTTTTCAAGACTTATATGAGCCCGATAATGATGAGTCCTCTACATTGATCATCATTATTTCTCTAATAAAAATTTTACAATGCTATTATCAATTGTTATGCATCCATAATGATAGAAGTTTTCAAGACTTATATGAGCCTGATAATGATGAGTGGCTTTACCCTTAGAGATATGATACGAAATGAGTATATATGTGAAAAGGTTGGAGTAGCTCCAGTGGAAGATAAGATTTAGAGAGATTCGCCTTAGATGGTTTGGTCACATAAAACGGCGGTCTTCCGATGACCCGGTTAGGAAAGTAGAGGTATTAGATTTGACTTATATTAAGAAAGGCAGAGGTAGACCTAAAAAGACTTGGTTTGAAAATATTAGAAATGATCTTTCTTTATTAGATTTAGACGAGAATTTGACTTTTAACAGGACACAATGGAGAAAAAAGATTCATGTAGCCGACCCCACATAGTGTGACAAAGGCTCGACATTGTTGTTGTTTACGAGCCCTAAATTACATGAACTACTTGTTCCTGACTGAATCATTGACTTCAATATAGAAAACACCTACTTGTCTATGTAGAAGTGTTTACAAAGGGTGAAAGTGACGAGCACACAATGTAATAACAAAGAGATCAAGCATCATTAAAAGACACCAAGATTTGTTTGATTGTGCCAAATGAATAGTCCACACGCTCGGAGGAGAGAGGGATTGATTTACTGCCAAGAAGTCGCTAGTAAAATATGATGCAAAAAATACTAATCTCTAAATTCAAGTATATCTAATCTCACTATATAGAGAATTCCTAAGAGATAAGCACCTGAATGCTTATCAAAACACCACTACCATACTTATTATGATACCACCCACTTATATCATTAGTGTGCTTATTCGACACCATGCTTGTACTGCATAAAGAAAGTTCAGTATGACCACAAATGAAAGAATAAGCAATTTCCTCTCCTTTATTTTTCCTCTCACTTTGATTTTTATTTACCTCAATTTTTTTCTCACCTCTCTTTTTCTTTACTAATTAGCCCACTCACTCTCCTTCTCCTTATCTCTCTCCTCTTCTTCTCCCTCACTTCTCTTTCTCTATTATTCACTTTTTGGTTCATACAATTTCCTTCTATATTTATTCTTTTATTTTTTTCCTTTTTTTAAAAAATTCAACAATAGTCATTTTGCCCTGCTGATTCTTCACCGTTAGTCATAGAATGAAGGGACCTTGTTCCTTTTAAAGTAAATGTTTACTAGCTCCCTACGTAAAATTGATCTATAATTGATCTTTTGTCTGCATTATCTGTAATTTGGCCTCATGCCTACTAAAAACTATCCTTATGCCTTACTTTCAATTAATAAGAATACTAAAAAAATAGGTTGTTTTGAAATTTAAATTAAGTTAATTTTTTTTATCAAATGTAATTCAATCAAAATGTTTAACCTTTACTTTTCAAGAGAAGGGTACTTTGTATTTATCTTAAAATAATCTATTTTAAATTAGTTGCATATTTATTTTAAATTAGTTGCATACCCTGACAATATTATTGATGCATAGGCTAAAATTAAAAAAAAATCTAGTCTACATTAGATTTTCTTCTACTAAATTGTTATTTTCTCCATTCTAAGCAAGTGCAACTTAATTTTCAAGTTCAGCCATTTTATTCTAAGTCAGTTATTCCTTCTGATTGGTCTCTCATACTTTTAAGATATTCGTCAATAATTATTATATTGAATGACTAAATATTTTCTTGGGATGATTAGCTTCTTTCCAGTTTGAACTATTGAAACAAGTTGTTGAACTTTAATAGTGTTTCTTAGTGCCTAATTGCCCTTTTAATGACCTATTTTCTTAACTCAAATTTTCCTTCACAAGAAGATGTGGAAATTTAAGTTTCGGACAGGTTTCAAACTATGATGTAAATATCGAAAAGTTCCATTGGAGGATAAAACCGAGCTTTCCACTTTATATGTTTTACTTATTTGAAATATCAGTTTAGAGAAGGCTTTCCTGTCTATTTAAAGTTCAACTAAAATATATTTCTTAGCCTATTGTGAAAGACATGCTTATGAATTATAATAATTTGTGGTTGAAAATCTGCCTATATTTTTGTTTTAGAAAGCTTCCATTAGTTTATAGATTGTCATGCAAGAACTGGAAACTATTCTCCAACAGCATAGGCTAGTTGACCAACATCTTTCAAAATCCCATGGCTATAGTTGTAGTAATGATAATGGTTCTTTTGCTAGCAGGTTTTCCTAAATTTATTTCATCTTTTTCTGCTGAATCAGGAGCGGCAATCATGTAAGGATGCCTCAACCACATGCATGTTCCGGTTGTCATCTGAGGGTCTGCCATTACTTCTTCCATACATTGGTAAACAAATTTTGTGTGCATCCTTAGCAGATTTTCGACACCTTTTACAGTATCGGACGATAAAATTTCCTGATTTTGTCGATGATGACTTCCGCGAGAAGGCATCGATCCTCATGTCGGGTTGTTGTGTGATAGTTCTGAAGCAAGGTAAGAGAAAATGACAACTTTGAATTATTTGGCTATTTCAACATATTGATTGACCTTTTATATGTTTGTTTGTTTGCAGGAAATGAAAAAACCTATCAATATTCAGCGGATTCATCAGCCATTGCTATTGTTTGCTGGAAAGGCAAAACCAACCTGAGCATCATGGTTTCCCAGTTGGATTCCCAACAGTTACTTGATAGGCTTGCAGTGCGTTTTGGAGGCCAAAAAGGTTCACCGCCTGATCAAAATAATTTTGTATTGGATGAAAGTAATAATTCAAGATTGGATATTACTGAAAAGGAGTTATCAGAAGCTGGACATGTGGAAGGTTTTGAAGAAGACTAAGAAGATATTTATGGAGAAAATACTGGTTGTAATAACTAATAGGGAAGAAAAAGGAAGATTTTGATCCTTGGGGTAAGGTTAATGGATTGAATTTGGTGGTATTTGTTGAAGTCTATGGTTTAGGGTACTATGGGATTCATCAGCTGCTACTGAGGTTTTGTTCTATTTACATGAAATCAATAAATTATTCATATTGATGTTAAGGTTGTTTAGATGCATTGAATTTTGCTTGTGATACAGCATGGAACTAACAATTTAATAGCAAGTATGGATAGTTCTTTGTCATTTTTTTTTCATATTTAAATATTTTGGTGAGGAGAAAAATGTTATGACAATTTATTTTAAATAAAAAAATGTCCAAAAGTCAAATTTGGAGAGAATTTGTAATGAAATTGATTAGTATAAATGTTAAGGTATTAAAATTATTTATTGCATATAAATAATATCATGTCTATATATAATGGTTATGGTAGGAAATTATAATTATAATATATGGTGAATATTGAGTATATTTTCATTTATTGCAATTTCCTTCATAATGCTCTTCTATTGTCTATAAGAATAGTCATTTGTATAAATTTATTATTCAATTCAATAAAGTTGATTATAATTGTAGTTATATTATCTTGTTAAGAAATATAGTTGATAGGATTGTCCCTTGCTGGTCCTTTTCTTTTTTTTTTTTATTGGCTTTTTTTCCTGTTTAAGATAAAATGCAATTAGTATGCTACTTTTTAATATATTTTACTTAATGCTCTTGAATATGACAAGCATTTATTTACTTCAAGAGGCATATCACGTTACAATAATATTGCATTGTTCAAAAGCTATTATCAAAATTTATCATCGTTAATTTAATGGTATGATCAATTTTGGTGCTATGGTGTCCCTTCTATCATAAAATAATGCTGCTTGTGAAAGGATTTTGCTTGGAATTTTATGTTCGGGTCAACCCGACCCGACCTGTAAGTTAGTCACCGCCCTCAGTTCGTGTGCTTCTTCATTCAAATCCTGTCGGTGTCGGACCCGTAAAGCATTGGCAGCGACATCGACGGCAGGCGAAGTGGGCACCAATAGTGAGTTAGCGAATCGATGGCTCGACTGCTCGGCTCTATGAGGCTCGGTTAATGCTTTCTGCGGCATAGTAGATAGGTGGATGTTTGAACTACTTAATTTTGAATATTTTTTAAATCTTTTAAATATCATAACAATATATTTTTTTTCATAATTCATAATTTTTATTAGTAGAGAAGAACATAATGAAATAAATAAATGAGAATTTTGAATAAGAAATTTTCCAGAACATAATGAATAATTATGAACTATGTTATATACAAATTCAAATAAAGCTGATGCTTAAAAAAAAAAAACCTTAGTTTCATGCAGCCATGGCTGCTTTGAATGCTCCTACAATTATACCTAGTTAAAGGAATGAAATATAAATATGATTGCATTTTGAACCAAAGAACCTTAACTTCCATGAAATCTTAGTTTTCAAGACTTAAAGAGCTCTAAATCACGAGCAATTATTACGTCCGGTCACCGAACGTATTCATAGATCAATAACTACGCGTCACGTCACCTGAAACTCGGTATTGAAACCTCAGTATTGCTCAGTATACATTCAGATACGTACGGTTATGACCGGACGTAATAATTGCTCCATGAATAATAAATGCTTGTTATATTCAAATGCTTTAAGGAAAATATATTAAAAAGTAACATACTAAATGCATTTGATCTTAAACAGGAAAGAGAGCCGAATATGGTATTCCTTAGTTTGCATTCACTTGCTAAATGGACGCCAGTCTAGTCAATTTATACCAAAAATAGCCCAAAATATGAAATGATTGAGCTTTATAAGACAATTTCATGAATATATATTGAGGTAATTATGAAGTATATGATGAAATCTCACCACTGAAGTTTCGAGAGGTTTCTTAGTTCAAACTTGGTTCACATTCCTCTGGCCAAGTGGAGCAAATCAAAACAAGAGAACTGCAACTAGGGGTGTCAATATTGGACCCGACCCGAAAACCCGACCCAATTCCGACCCGAATATTTCGGGTTTGGGTTGACCCGAACCCGAAACGGTTGGGGTCGGGTTCAACGATTCGGCCCGTTTCAAAAATCGGGCCGGGTTCGGGTTGACCCTTTGACCTGGCAACCTAAGATTGACCCATTTTTGGACCCGAAAACTAGCAGTTTTTTGTTGGCACCGGTCATTCGGGTCGAGTCAGGTTGACCCGGACCTGAAGTAGGTCAGGTTCGGGCCCGAAAAACAGACCCGTTTGCAAAAATGGGTCGTGCTCGGGTTGACCAGAATAGTTCCGGGTTAGTTTCAGGTTTGACCCGAATCCGCCCCGTGACCCGAAATTGAAACCCCTAACTGCAACCACCCGTATTCGAAGGTGCATTTTAAGAACTAGATTTGGTGATATGATGCCCGATAAAAGCAAAAAAAAATTATCTATGAATAGTAAGTGCCAAGAAAAGCATGCAAATACAGAAGACAATTATTGATCTTCCTTACAATAATTATGTAATTACTTAGTAACTACCTTATACTTTATATATGTTAAAAGTCGGTAATTAATTAAGTAGTTAAGAAGTTAAGCAGTTGCTAGTTACACAGTTTAACATAGATGACATAGTTATGATAAATAATTGTTATCTTATTTTTTTTTATAAATAAAACTCACAAAGGGATCTACGCGTTAATAACATTAAAAGGATACAAGTCATACCAAGGACAAAGACAAAATTATAATACAAATTTTAGCATAGAGGAACTAACAACAGTGGAAAACACAAGTTCTTCGGGCTTAACCATTGGCAATAAGCTTTATACCACCACCCAGAGGCTGGGCAAGGACATCCAGAGGAGAAAATGCCCGCACAGTTGAAAAAGTTAAAGCTAATTTAACATCCCAAAAGGCCACCAAACAGAACAAGAAACAGCACCACCAATGATTGCTAACAAACCACAACAAATAATTGTTATCTTAATGTAGTAATTGTTATCATAATATAGGGTTTGATCTCCAGTATACAATTGCTTAACTACCTTCCATATAGAAATTATGTAATCACTTAGTAACTTTATCAGTTTTTGAGCCTTAGATAATCAATTAGGAAGCAGTTTAGGGATTAAATAGCTAAAAAATTAAAGAGGTATATGTATGAATTACTCTTACAAATGAATGAATTAAAAAAAAAAAAAACACCAAAATTTTGACATGCAAATTATATAACCCAAAATCATGAAAAGTACATAAAATATATGAGTTTAATTTTTGTAGGCATATGTCACTCAAGAGGATGTTCTAATGAAAATTTTAACTGTAAGAGATTCCTTATATTATTTTGCAGAGATATTGTTTCCTAATTCATTATCTAAGGCTCAAAAGTGGGAAAAAGCTGATATAGTGATCATGGAGATGGGCTTACAAGATGATATGAATACTGGAATTGGAGGTCGCAGTAGTGAAGCCATAAGTGGTGGGCAAAGGAGACGGCTTAACGTTTGCACAGAGATCTTAACCCGCCCAAACCTACTATTCATTGATGAGCCCACGAGTGGACTTAACAATGCAACATCATACCATGTTATGAGCCAAATAGCTGACCTTGAATGTCACCTTGAAAGTACTACCATTTCCTCCATTCACCAGCCAAGTTCTGAAGCTTTTAATCTATTGATAATTTGTGTCTTTTATCATCGAGAAACACAATATATTTTGGTTTGATTTCATTAACTAGTGAGGTATATAATTGTGCAATAAATTGAAGTTCTTATGGTTATAGGCTAATTTGTTTTTGTCATAGTTTTGTTGGCTATAAATTATGCATGCAGTTAGTCAAGTACTTATTTTTTTCAACTTGTGAGCTTGGAAAATTCGAGCACCAGCCCCTCTGCGGACCCCTTTCTTTTTCTTCTAGTCCGAGGAGAGTTTTAACGCATAAATCATGAGGCAAATTTTCATAAGGTAGATTAGATTGTGAATAAGACATCACCCAGAGATTTCGCCCTTATTTTGCGAGGAATTTATGATCTGAGTTCAGGTTTCATATAGGCGCAAGCCCCTATAGTTAATTACCCCTCTCAGTAACGAGAGAGAACTTTGATTAAGACTAGTCATCAAATAGATACGTGATATCCATGTATAGTAGCAGCATGAGTTGGTATTTGAAATTTTAATATTAAAAAATGGAAAATTAACCACCTTGTGAGTAAGACGTCCCGGGCTATCATGGTCCTTAGTTTACTTAGTCAGACGAGGTAGTCGACCCAACCTGACCAAAGGATCCTTGTCGACAACCATGTATTACTTTGTTCAAGGGTACCTTGTAGACCTGCGTAAATATTTGTCTAAGTGGAAAAATTTGAAGCCACCTTAGCTAACAAAGGGCTTTGTGCACTATATATTATATCATATTGATTCATATCTCAAAGAATTGAAACAATTGGGGAATATGCGGGATCTGACCATGACCGTAATTTAGTGGTGTCATATAACAGTAAAATCACTCGGTTCATAGGGTCCCGATTGTAATCATTTACGTGTGGTGTCATTTAGTAGTGAAACCACTGGTTAGAGGACACGTGTCACGTCCTTACTGATAAGAGATTATTGAGAATGAATCCTATTGATATTATCAGTCATACATTAACTCTTTGTGAGCTGAAATAATTTTTATAATTATCCACCTTGGAAAATTATTGCGGAAGGTTGATGGGTATTTTGCTTTAATCATTTGAAGATTTATTCCAGTTTTAAATATTTATGCTTTGGTGATTTTTTTTTTGGATTTTGAATTTTCATCGGCATTTGGGTGAAATTTTTAAGTATTTAGGTTTGGCTCTGGTTGAAATTTTTTGTCAAATGGTCATCATTAGGATAATTATGGCCAATTTTATTTTATCGATTGAACTTTTTTTGACTATATCTACTTGCTAATAGAGGATCAGATTTATCATTGACTTTATGCCTATATTAGTAAATTTTCTTTGTTATAGGCTTTGAAGATCTAATATTAATGTATAAATTAAATATTATGGTTGTTGTTGTAACCGTATATTTGTTTGATTGTCCGAACCCTATCAACTCCTATCCATTAATGTAAGAAGATCATGTTCAAATCTGAATTCATGTTTAAGCAGTACAGTATCCTCAGACATCACATGTGTGCCTACAACACAGACCCTCGGGTCCATGCGGTTGTATACTTGTGTATGCATTTCACAAGATGAATTTATGTGGTGGTTGCACTTATGTTGAATA